CATATTTACTTAAATGGTCTTTTGAAAAATCTCATTGAAAATTTATTTGCTGTAACTCGTTTAAAGCCTTTTCTGTAGGTATTCCTATGGGCACTTACTGAGCCCCTTTAATAGCAGGTTTATTCCTGTATTGCTATAAATCTCAGTTTATGACCAAACTCAGTAAAGGCACGTCATTGTTACATTTGTTTGATACATCCAACAATACCTACCGTTATCTTGATGATATTTTTTCGTTAAATAATCCAGAGTTCTCTAAATATACTACCGAAATTAATTTACCCAAAGGAACTTATTTTAAATAAATCTAACATAAACAGCAGTAGTTGTCCTTTTCTAGATTTAGACATTTCAATTTTAAAAGGGAAACTCCATACTAAAATTTACGACAAAAGAGACGATTTTTCATTCCCTATTGTTAATTTTCCCTTTTTAGACGGCGATGTTCCTTTGGCTCCATCATACGGTGTTTATATATCCCAACTCGTTCGTTATGCCCGTGTGTGTAGTGATGTCATAGATTTTAACGAACGTAATGCATCACTGGTAAATTATTAAGTCAGGGATTTCGTTACCATAAATTGCCTAAAACTTTAACTAAATTCTTTCATAGATACAAAGATTTGATTAGTAAATTTGGCTGTACCTGTAGAAAACTTATTAAAAACGGTATTTCAAATCCTAAATTTTACGGTAATATTGTACTAAAAGTGCGGAAATCACTATGTGATCCGTGTAAACTCATCGAACCTTTAAACAAACTTATTAGTAAAGGTTATCTTACCAATGTTGTAATTAGATCTTTGAATATAGTTTACATTGGCACAAATATCGATTTTGTCATCAGCAAATTAAAACATAACTAAAATTGTATTCTTTTCAAACAGTTTTTTGGGATGTATAAATACACATCCACGTTCATTTTCTGTATAGAATGTATATATAGGCCTACCACCTTTGATAAGTGTTTAGTATGACGATAAATTTTCACTTTTGTTCTGGTACTAGGAACAACAAAATTATTTATTTTGTAAAAATTATTTCCATACTCCATGTATACCTTACAACAAAATTATTTTTATTTACCTGTGTACGTTATTTTATTTGACGGCATTTTGTCCAAGGTTATGGTTGTCTTTCTGATATTGTTTTAAATCTAACCCCCTTGTTTTATTCATTTTGTTAATACATTGTGTCATATATCAAATTTATTCGTTCAGTGTATATTCACTTGTTTTTGTTAATATGTCTTTTGGTTGAGTTAAGCCATTTCAATTGATATTTTATAGTGTGTCTTTCTATGTTGTGATGTTACACTCTTGTTTCAGGTAGGGTGAAGGTTGGCGCCTATTGAAACGTTTAAACCCGCTGCATTTGTTTGCACCTGTCCTAAGTCAGGAACCTGATGTTCAGTGGTTGTCGTTTGTTGATGTGGTTCATAAGTGTTTCTCGTTTCCAGAGGCAGATCCAGGATTTTAGGTTAGGGGTTCACAAAATAAAATTTTGGCCAAGCGGAGCGAGGCGAACATTTTTTTGAGGTAAAATTATCGAAATATTCTTTATTAGGCTGAGGACAACCCATGCTTTGCAAATTTTAGGGGGGGTGGGGGGCGCACGCCCGCCACGCCCCTTCTGAATCCGCCCCTGGTTTCTCGTTTTTTATATAGATTAGACCGTTGGTTTTCTTGTTTGAATGGTTTTACACTAGTCATTTTTTGGGCCCTTTATAGCTTGCTGTTCGGTGTGAGCCAGGGCTCCGTGTTGAAGGCCGTACTTTGACCTATACTGGTTTACTTTTACAAATTGTGACTTGGATGGAGAGTTGTCGCATTGGCACTCATAGCACATCTTCTTATCTCTATATAATAAAACAGCTTTAGAAAAAAGATTGTGCCCCCTATGTAATATAGAGGTGGAAGATGAATTCCTTTTTGCAATAATGCGTACACAACTCAATTACTCTAGAATGAAAATGTTTAATGAAATTTATGATATTGTTCCTAGTATATATTTCAATGTGTAAGGGAACGACCATTTAACTTCAAGGAAAAAATATTCTGATCCCCAATTTGATGAAAAAAAATATTGTGGTCAAGCAGATGACCAAAAAAAATATTCTGAATCCAGATTTTCCCCATACCTTATAGTGTTAAATTTTGAAAAAATGTGATTGATAGCGTCGAAAAACTAAAAAATAATGTTCGCGCTTTGCACAAAAAATTTTTTTAATTTTATTTTCTCTTGTAAAGAATATGACATTTTGATAATTATTGTTAATCGCATAATTAGTGAGATGTATAATTACAGAAACAATGTTAGCAATTGTGTATGAACTGTTGATTTTACACGTATACCTTTTTTCTTTTCTTTTCTATAATATAAAATATGAATGAATAAAATAGAGTTAAGCAGCATTTCTTTTAAATATAATCATTGTACATGTATGCTAATCTAAAGGGGAAGTATGTCGTCTAACATTTTGATATTTTTTGTAAATGTTACATATTTATATTGTTTATTGTTTATTTGTGTTTGTATTTAGTTGTAATCCGATTGTTTGGATTTTATTATACTAAAAAAATATCTTATCTTATCTTACAGATGAATAAAAGTTGTAATACTAGTACTAGAGGAAGACAAAACACCTCTGTAACTTAAAACATGCTTTAAGTGATTTTATGGGGGGGGGGGGGGGCATTAAGTTTTACCCTTGTCCGTCTGTACGTACGTCCGTCCGTACGTCCGTCAGTACGTACGTCTGTTCTTTACGTTTAGTTTGCTTCAACAACATGTTTTGAAATTTGACAATAGTAGGAACCAAAATACAGAGGTTAAGTTTAAAATTGACCCTTTTCATTTTTCCATTCCTGAATTGAACAAATTTTAGGTTTGCTATTAAAAAACTTTTGATTTAGCTGCCAGAAAATCAAGAAATTATAAAAACTTAAACCAGGTAAACCCATTTCAATTTGGAATTATGCATAATTTGGAAATCTAAGGTAAGGTTATTCTTCTTGTTATTTTCCTAATAGGTATAATAGGGAATAACAACAAGAAAACAAATAGTGTGCAGCAAGAATTGTCCCAAACCAAATTCAAATACCATCATATATTTATGCCCCTACCGTAGTGGAGGGGGCATTAAGTTTTACCCTTGTCCGTCTGTACGTACGTCCGTCCGTACGTCCGTCAGTACGTACGTCCCAAAGTTGGTTTCCGTTCTCTAACTTTAGTTTGCCTCAACCAAATGTTATGAAACCTATACCCAATGCTTATTACCACAATACACAGATCAAGTTTGAATTTTGGTGCCGTCACTTTTACTGTTCTAGAGTTATGCCCTTTACAAATGGAAAAATTGCTGAATTTTTCATTTTTTTTCTGAATATCAAGTATTTTTAAAATTGGAGTTATCTTTCTTTGTCCATGATTATAGAGTGCTCAAATCTATCTTAATCCCACTGAACCTGGGGCAGTGGTATAAAAGTAGGAAAAGGCTTCCTTGTCAGATGGGCACGAAAAAACTATCTACAGAAGACAAAAGATCTGAAGATAAATTATCTACCAGTACACATCCACATACATATAAAAATAAAGAGATGTGGTATGATTGCCAATAAGACAACTATCCACCAAAGTTCAAATGAAGTGGACGTAATCAATTATAGGCAACCGTTCGGCCTTCTACAATGAGAAAAATGCATACCGTATAGTCGGCTATAAAAGGCCCCAACATGAAAAATATGAAACTATTCAATTGAGAAAACTAACGGCCTAATTTATAACAAAACAATTTACGAAAAACAAATATGACAGACATTAACCAACAACAGTCCATTTAACTCGGGGAATTGTGCTGTTATCCTCACTCAATGTATACTGTTAAATTCAATAATTATGAACTGTCAATGGATGTTTAAAATTAAATAAAATGACAGACATTCCGAATTCTATATATATAAAAGAACCGTAAGACAACGGCTTTTCGGCCAATTATATTTGAAATAGTTGAACTAAAATTTCAATTACATTTCAGTCAGTTTGATGCTCAATTCATTTTGAATAAGAAAATCTATTTTTATTTATATGCATTTTTCATTTACCAATTTGGGTAAAACATCTCATGCCGTTTCAATGTTTCAACTGGGACTAATACATTAATTCAGTAGTCCCAGGTTTCAACAAAGATCGAATAGGAACTCCGGCCTTCAATCAATTTTACAAATTACACCAAAATACAGAAAACATGATTCAAAATTATTTTATCGATAACATCTGGTATTGGTTTTCACTGAAGTTATCTTTACAGATCAGCGGGTGTTTAACCCCTTAATTGTGCGTCTTATCGCATATGTCAAATTGGCAAATGACCCCATATGGAGCGAGGACGGGTTATCGTCCTTGTCGATACAAATAATTGTTTTCAAATTGGGTTATCTCCCTTAAACCGGACAGATTCTTGGCAATGTCTTCATTTTCAAAATTTCAAAATGAATTTCATGAATTGTAACATACATGTATGATGACACACGTTTCCACAATAAAGTGCACAGGTAAATAAAAGAAAATAATGATCATGATGATAGTAATCGTGTTTTCATGATCGTAGCGAAAAAAATGTAATTATACTGAGTATTGAATGCTTCTTTTAGTAATTTCATAGGGTTGTAAAAGCGTTGACCGTGCGTACATTTTTAGAATGAAGCGCTTCCTACAAAATGTACTTCGGTCAACGCTTTTACACCCCAATTAATTTACAAAAAGAAGCATTCAATTCTTAAATAATAGTTTATAAAACTAATCTGACATGATGAGATGGTCTACATTATAATTCATTGATCGTATATATGTCAGAATTTTGTATTGTGAACGTGAAATATACACACCTTATAAATTTTTCTACATGGATACTATAATGATATTTCCGACTTGTTTTCATCATTTCACAATAGATTTCCTGTATGTACCCCTAACGTTCTTTCGCAATAATAAACCCTATTTAACCTCATGACGTGGTGATTTTCAGATAAGCGCATGCGTATGCTCTCTTGTCATTAACATCCGACAAAGCAAAGGAGCAGCAACGATGAAGTACCTGGAGGTTGCAGTTGTTATCTTTATTTGTATTTCTTGCTACATTGATGTTGGTAAGTTGCATTGATATTCAAAAAATGTTTTAAATTGAATCAACATTTTGAGGTACTAGTAGGACGCCATATGATACATTCAAGGTGAATATTGTTTGTACAATATGTCCTTGAAGACTTTTTACCTTTACAAAGGACACATTTACTGTAATATAGGGGTCACCTTGTTATTGACGTACTGGTTTAACCTTTGTAAACCAGACTCGAACATCACTGTGATCACACACAATAAGTTATGTACTCGCCGTTATTTAACACACGCATGTTGTACGATCAAAAGTAGTAATTTTTGAATAAAATCTTCCACATAAGAGTTCGGTTCCTAAATGGAAGATTCAACTCCGCTCTTCCATGAAAGAGTTCGGTTTCATGTTTAATCTCCACTCTGTATAGTTTTTTTTTATCAGGGACGACCTCTTCAGAATCAAATGGCGGTACTTCCATTTATTTAAAAAAAAATGCAATCATACATATTATGTTGCGTATAATGACATCAAATCTCATTTGTCTGTTATCTTCAAAATACTACTCATTTACAAGCCTACGGGAATCAAATTTTTGAAGGCCTTGTGCAGTTACTTAACATCTTTGCACAATTGATTTCAGTGAGATGAAAGGTTGAACCTGCATCAACATCATTGTACATGTAGATAGAGACATATAATACAATTATTTATATTGCATTATATGTCTCTGATGAAGGCAAAAAAAACTATACATCCTTTTCAAAACTTGAAATAACCTTTCAAACTAAGAAAAATCCAATGGATCCAAATTATTTTTAAAACTAAAGGGAGGTTTAGAGGAAGTACTTTCTATAAATGTGGAATTTTGTAAGTAAAAAATATTAAGATGAAAAAAATCATCCAGGGTAACAACTAATAAAGTGTAATTAAATTTGGTCAGCTCAGTATTTGCATTATTTCTTTAAAAGCCTACTGGTTTGATAAAACATGATATAATGTTATCTAATAGTTATTGTTCATTAATGTCAAGTTGCTGTTTGTTTACAATAACTTTTAATGATTTATTGTGTTCAGACAATACTTATACAATAGCCTTGGGTTCATGATGTAACATTACATAATACATTTTTATAGATAGATAAGCTATTGATTGTGATGGATTAAACATTTTAAATAAATTTTCTGGTTCTAAGATATATACTCTTAAGAAAAACTTATGTGGAAGTGTATTCAATTTTTGAAATTTCCACGCTAATAAAGTCAATGACCAGTAATTTTTAAGTGAATAAGTGTAATAATATAGGGAAATAGAAATGAACAATAAAATTCTTATGTATATAGAAATCAGTGTTCCAGCTTGAATCTCGGGGCAGAAGGGTGCTAGTTGTCTGAAAGGGCACTTTAGCGTTATAACCCAGATTTTAAGGGCAGTGTTGGAAAGTGTATAAATTACCTTGAATATTGCTAGGCTCAGCTGGAGAACATTAGTTGTATTTAAACCATATTCAGAAATTAATGTGTTCTTGATGTTGTTCAAACATATAGTATATATGTTATTGAGAGTTATTTATTATCTTTTAAATTGTTACAAAAAAGTGTTTTTAAGTGCACACCAAAGTGCTCCTCAGTAAGGAGTTTTATAAATATAACAGGTGAGACAGGAGATGATCATATTTATATTGATGCAATAATATATTGCAGAAAGTATAAACAGTTACTTTTTTCTCCATCATTGTTAAAAATAAATTTGTTGAGTGCTCCATGTCAGGAGGATTATAAAATATAAGAAGTATTAAAAACAGGAAGTGAATCTTGTTATGTTCAAAGTACAAATTTCTTTGATTCCTCTTTAAATTTCATACTCATGGTTATGAAACAAAACATTTTTTACCAATTAAGTCAAAACTATGTATGCATTTAAAATTGTTTAAGATTTTAGTTTTTATGTTATGCCTTCTGAAATAAATTTTTTCAGGTGTACATGCTGTACATAAACATTACAAATGGATAACATGTGGACATTTCATTCTGTATTAAATATCTAGTATTTGTTCAATTATCTTAAATCCACTAATTAGCAGTAAACAATCATTAACAAAGGTGATAATTCTTTTACTTTTGAGGGCAGAAGGGCGGGGGTAAGGGCACCAAGGGCGGGCCGCCCTTCTATTTAGGGCAGGCAGGAACACTGGAAATTAACAAGAATTTTGAAGAAATCTATAGATTATGAAAAAAAGCAGGGAGTTAATTTGTTTTTTTATGATAAAAAATGATTTGATGTGATGTACAAATATGTAGTTGTTGACCTAACTCAGTAACTGATGAAGACTCTGGTCTCATGGGTTTGGTAAAGTTTAAAACGCCCAATACCAATGGCTGTCTGCATTTGACAATGAACAAAATTAACCTTTTACCTCTTGTAAATAATCTTAAGACACATGACAACATTGTATGTTGAATTGGTAGAGAATAAAAATGTCATGATGTTGTGAGGTAGATGATTTGTCTTAAAGTTATGCTATTTATTTTTTATGTTAAAAAATTGACAGATTCCTAATATTTTGACTGCATTAACTCACTTGTTTCGTTTTTGAGTTAATTTGGATTAATTAAAGCATAATAAGACTGTAAATGCCATATCAGATAAATTATGTCGTTTTCAGCATGTGCTAATAATCACCTCTACCAGTTCATTTATTCATGGGTTCCATTTTCTTTGATTATTAAGCAATTTAAATCTCACTTAAAGACCCTACAAAAATGTTATGTTGTGTGAACAAATTATCACATGATTGACCAAAAAGCACCTGTTGATCACTGGTCAGTTACATGTACCATTATAACCCTAACAAATGTAAATATTAACAATTGAAAATAACTATCCCTGTCTCAAAGTTATTGCATGAATTAACTTCATATGAGGTCATAACAAAAGTTATTGTTTGCAATATTCTAATGAGATCTTTTTGGCCTGTAAAAATCATCTCTACAGGCAAAAAATCAACTAAAATTTTCATAAAATTCAGCTTTGGGCCTGTAGATCAAAAGTTCATTGTGAAGACTGATATATGCAACAAGTATTATGAGTATAGGGTGAAGTGAAAACTCAAACTGTGTTGAAAATACTAGGCATGGATCTCCATGACCTGTTTTATGATGGCGGACCGCCATCGTTAAATTATCTTCTGACATCATCAAATGATCCCACCATTGTCAAAATTTGTTTTTGTTTCGCTAGGCGCCGCCATTTTTGTAAACAATTTTATTCAATTGCATGTAATTGCATAACCCTGAAATAAATTGTTTAATCCTGTATATAATATGGCTGCAGGGAATAAGACTAATATTTTCCAATTAGGGGCCCAACCTGCCACAATGTGAAAATGAACATAATGAAAAACAAAAGATAACCAAACTGATGACTATTGGAAATGTTTACTATTGACTACAGAGAAAAACAAAGTGGCAGAAGAAATCGAAATTTTCTGATCAAGATTCTGCTAGCCTGAGCTTTGCTAAGCAGAATTCACTATTTAATGAATTTCTCTGCAATGAATTTGATATACATGTACATATTTCTCATTTATCAATTTTTATTTTCAGGAGAATCCATAAAATGTCATGTATGCAATTCATTTGAGACACAACAGTGTGGAGATGAATTTTCAAAAGATAACACAGATTTTCTGATGGACTGTCCCACAAATTATACAATGTGTAGGAAAATTGTCCAAAATGGTAAATATTTATTGTAGTTTTAAAAGCAAACTTCTTGCATTAAGGACATTTGAGGTTCCAAATTTATTGTTCAGATCGTTCATCTGTTCCACCAGTTTATTTTTCATAGATTGTTTTTTGTTTGGGCCAATCCCACTATTAAGGCTAATCTTTGTTCCACATGTGTGAAAATTGCTATAATCCATTTGAGTAAAAATATATATACACCAAAGAGATAGTAATGTAACTTAAAGCAGGAAAGGCATCAAGAAATCAACATATTGTGTCCAACAGTTAAGTTTAAAATTGACCCTTTTCATTTTTCCATTCCTGAATTGAACAAATTTTAGGTTTGCTATTAAAAAACTTTTGATTTAGCTGCCAGAAAATCAAGAAATTATAAAACGCTTCCGTTCTCTTACTGTCCCTTTATAAAGTTGTATGCAAGCGGGGGCATCACCATTTATTTTTTAAAGTAATTTACAATGTGAATGATTTTGCTGTTGTTATTGAATCATTCATGAATAATCATAAATATATATTATGCGCAAGGAAAATAGATGTGTACAAATTGTTAATTTTTTTATTTCGTTTTCTTTAGTGTTCTATGAAGATGACTGGAATCTTCGTTACATAAGAGAATGTGCTAAAACTGGAGAAGTAGAAGATACTTGTAGAGAAAGAACAGGAACCTACAAGGTCAAGGTTAAATACTGTCATTGTGGTTCTCCTGAATGTAATGGAGTAGCACAAAACAAGATCAACTTTATGGCAGCTCTTATTCCCTTGTTTGTTGTAGCTCTGATCACATTCAAGAAGTTATGATGAAAATGTCTTTAAAAAAAATTGTAAACCACGGGTACTTCATTGACTGTTAAATATCTATGCAATACCACTCCTGTCACACACATTAAAGATCTAGTAAGAGTGTAAACTCTTGATGTGACAGGAAAAGGTTTTTGGAAGGAAGGAGGTCATGATAAAACTAAATCGCATAGTTTGAACGAAATTCACAAGTTTGTGTGATGAGTTGAGAGTTGATGAGAAAATGGAACATATGTGATACCATTCATATAATTTTATGTCTGAAAACAAATAAACAAGCAATGAAACTCATGTACTGATAAAAAAAAGGAACCAGTGCTTAACATTTTAACATCTGAAATATAAAAAAAGGGATGGTGCAAGATTATTCTATGCTTGTTTAATTGATTTTACTGTTATTTTTATTTTTATTACATATCCATCATTCACTGCTGTAAAATATTGTGATGAAAATTGTCATTTTAGAAAAAGGAACCAGTGCTTAACATAAAACATCAAACATATAATATTAACAAATGACTTTGTTTTGTTTCAATGTTTTATAGCTTTATCATATTCATTGTTCATAACTTTGAAGGGCAGGGAAGATAAATGAAATTTCAAGTTTTGAGTAATTTGGTTTGTCAGTTTTAACATTCCTATCACTGAAGGAAGTACAAACAAATTGTGCTTTAAACTTTGCACTTTAAACTTTGTAACCATAAAATACCATGTACAAAAAATCATTTATACTAGAGCTTTTTGAATCTCAAGTTATGAAAATTTCTCTTGCTTCGAATCCAATATACACTTTGAAATACTTGCATATATTTGGGGAAAAGAAATTAAAAAAAAAGAATCCATCTTCTTGTCAGTTTAAATGTATGAAAAATTGTTTACAACTGTATACTTAAATGATTTTAATGAGAAAGGTTTTTTTACATCTTTTATAAGTGGCAAGGATTCTTAATAAACTTCTGAAATCTTATGACTTGTGTTTGTTTTGATTTACCATTCTGATGCCAAACAGTACAAATTTTACAACAGAAAATGAATTGTTGGAATCTTGACTTGGTATTTGTGTTTCTCCACAAATTTATGCTTCAGAAAGTTGTAAGGTGCACAAAACCCTTTTTTATATGCCCGTTTACGGGACGTATTATGGTATACCGTTGTCTTTCGTCCGTCTGTCCGTCCGTCGTCAACATGTCGGACATTTACTCAAAAACACTTTAACCAATTTGCATAAAACTTTGGTGAATTGTTTATATCTATTGACGTGAGCTCCCTTTCGTTTTTTATAAATTTTAGATGTTACGTTTCCGAGTTATGGGGTTTTATTCATTAAAAAAAGGGGGATTTTCCAGTTTTTGGACAATAACTCAAGAATGCTTCCACCAACTTGCAAGAAATTGTGGGGAATTGTTTATATCTATTGACATGAGCTCCCTTTCGATTTTTATATATTTTAGATTTTACGTTTCCGAGTTACAGGGTTTTATTCATAAAAAAAGGGGGATTTTCCAGTTTTCGGACAAAAAATCAAAAATGCTTTCAGCAGTTCTTATGAAACTTTGGTGAATTGTTTATATCTATTGATGTAAGCTCCGTTTAGAATTTTATAAATTTTACATTTCTGAGTTCTGGGGTTTTATTCATTAAAAAAGGGGGGATTTTCCAGTTTTCGTACAATAACTCAAAAATGCTGTCAGCAATTCTCATGAAACTTTGGTGAATTGTTTATATCTATTGATGTAAGCTCCCTTTACATTTTCATAAATTTCTAATATGACATTGAGAATTAATTGAACTTTAATTGTTTGTAGTCTGACAACAGATTTACTTAGTATTGCACAACAGCACAGTGTATTGCACAACAAGAAATCTATAATTGAATATAAATTCAATTCATATAACCAATTTCAAGTTCTTTGACTACATTTATTCAGAAACCTATAATATGTCAAATATGTTATACAATCCAAATTCAGACCTGTATCAAGCTTGAATATTGTGTTCATTTTTGCCCCAACTGTTCAGGGTTGGACCTCTGCAGGCGTATCCAGCTGCGCTCAGCGAAGCAGTTTATTATCAGTCCCCTACTGACGAAGTCGAAGGGGAATTTTAGGTTTGCACTTACGTCCGTCTGTCTGTCCATCCGTCAGTCCGGCAAATCAGTTTTCCACACTTTTTCTTCGTGGTTGAAGATATTGATTTGATATTTGGTGTATTGTTTTATCATGAGAAGTTACAGATCAAGTTCGAATTATGTTCTGGTCTAATGATTTTGTGCAGAGTTGTGGTCCTTGGACATAGAAAATTCACCCAAATAATCTGTTTTCCTCACTTTTTTCGTCATGCTTGAAGATATTGACTTGATATTTGTTATATAGTTTACACCACGACAAGTTATAGAGAAAGTTAGCATTTTGTTCCAGTACAATGAATTTTGAACCGGTAGTGGACTATGTATTGCCAGGCAATACTCACAGAATGCTTGTTAAACCTCATAATTGTCAACGAACACACTGACATATTATGGCTGGAATAACAGTCCAGGAGGACCCAGGAGCAATTTTTGTTCTTTCTGACAATTGCTTTCATTTGTGGAACTGATTTATTGAATTTAAGCAATATAATTTTCTGTATAAGTAGCCACAGTTGATTTCTGGTTTTGATGTCTGATCACTAGAGTACTCCATTAAAATGAGCCTATTTCTGATGTAGCCAACCTCATTTTTGTTTGCTTAGGTCTGCAGTGTCCGACACAGTCTGCTAGCAAAGTACTGAGCAATACGACCTCATATATCTATGTATTTAGTTTTTTACTATGTTTATCGGAGATCAAAAGAAATGTATTAAGACTTATTCCACACAAAAATTTCATGCATACTAAAATTTGAAGAATAAGGTTAACAGTGATATTCAGTCTTAACTGCTGAAGAACTAAAAAAATCTGTTTCGCATAGTTGAGTATCGTCAGTTACCTTGAAAGCATTAATTTAACAAGAATGTGACAAACTAAAACTAAAAATTTAGGGTCTAAGTTTTATTCACTGTTTTAGGATGATTTACCAGTATACATATCAGAATAGGATACTATTGAAACTTACAAGAAATAAATATTTTGCAATTTCTGAAATTTCATAACTACGTTGATGCAAAATTTTGGATATGAAGGACCTTTATTAAATTCCACTTTTGATATCAGTTTATAGATTAAAGTTTATGTCAGCTAGAGGCATTCGTTGATTCTAGTATCAACTTCCAAGTATGTGGCAACAATTATCACACATGTTCTCATTGAAGACTTTGGGAAGTTGCTGTTAATTTAAAAAAAAAACTTATCAAAGGTACAAGACTTAAAATTTTGTATGGCAGACATGCGCTTCTTCTGCTAAAAACCTCATAAGTGACGCTTGAATCAAAATAGTAAAAGGCCAAATAACGCACCAAGTTGAAAGAGCATTGAGGACCCAAAATTCCAATAGGTTCTGTCAAATACAGCTGTGGTAATCTATTCCTTAGTGTAAAATCTCAAGTATTTTGAACGATTCAAAATAAAAATAAGGAGATGTGATATGTTTGCCAATGAGACAACTATCCACCAAAGTTCAAATGAAGTGGATGTAAGCAATTATAGGCAACCGTAAGGTCTTAAACAATAAGAAAAAACCCATAGCGTATTGTGGGCCTTAAAATTCCTGGATATGAAACAATTTAAGGTGGCTGGGGTGTCTTCCTCCATCTTGGATTTTGAATAGCAGATAATAATCGGTTTAGATCTTTAATAAGATGTGCAAATTTCGAGAGTAGTATGTAATTCATGTGTAAGACTTTTCGTGTTAATATAGAAAGTTATGTGTTTTATCATATTTTACGACTGTATTTTACAAAAAACAGAATACTTTTGTTTGATTCATATTTTTTCAACTGTGCCACATAAGGGGAGATAACTCAGATAAAGTAACTTTTATAATAGAATGTGTTATGAATTTACCTATTCTATGATGTAACAAGAAAACGAGTTCGAAGACCCCATTTTTTCTTTTTCTTATCTGAAAGCATATTATTAGAGCTATCTTCACATATTTTATCTTAAAATTCTATGGTTTAGTTTTCTTTTTATCACAAAAAATTGGGTTTTCCATGCATAATCTATACAAAATCTGACAATTTTCCACAACCTGTAGCTCGAAAAAAAGCCCGGTGTCCCATACTTTTTATTATATTTTTGAAAAAAGCATGACATAAACTACTTTTTAACAAATTATGAAAAAATTCTATGGATTTTAATTTAGACACCCCATCTACCTTAATTGAGAAAACTAAAGGCCTTATTAATAACAAAACAATTTACGAAAAACAAATATGACCGGCATGACCCAACAACAACCACCTAACTACATGATCCTGACTTGGGACAGGCACATAACACGGTGTATATTCAGAATGCTTGCTTTCCGATTAAATCAACGGTAACGCTTACTTTCCGATTAAGGTAGATAGGGTGTCTTCCTCCATCTTGGATTTTGAAATACCAGAAAACAATCGGTCTAGATCTTTAATAAAAGGTGCAAATTTTGAGAGAAGTAGGTAACTCATGTGTAAAAATTTTCATTTCTATATAGAAAATGACATATTTTATCATATTTATGGTTGTATTTTACAAAAAAAACAGAATACTTTTGTTTGATTCTATTTTTTCCAACTTTGCCACATAAGGGGAGGCAACTCAAATGTAAGGGCAGATAATTCAGATAAAGTTACTTTTACAATAGAATGTGTTAGGAATTTACCTATTTTATTATGTAGCAAGAAAACGGGTCCCGTGACCCCATTTTTTCTTATCTGAAAGCATACTATTAGAGCTATCTTCTCATATTTTATCTCAAAATTCTATGGTGTAGTTTTCGTTTTATGGCAGAAAATTGGGTTTCCATGCATAATCTATACAAAATCTGTCAATTTTGCACAACCTATAGCGTGAAAATAAGCCCCGTGACCCATTCTTTTTGTTTTTTTTTTTTTAAAAAGCATGATATAAACTACATTTTGGCAAATTATTAAAAAATTCTATGGATTATAATTAAGACACCCCATCTACCTTAAATCAACGGTAACGCTTACTTTCCGATTTTGTCCCAGAAAATTTCAAAGAGGGTAGAAAGGTAGTAGTGTGCTACAATAATAAAAAAATAACAAAATATAAATTTTCTTGATTTTAAGATGTAATGAACTTTTTATTCATATAGTCTATATAATATATTTTAAATATTTTTTCAACTATTTTACATATTTTCTTAAATCAACATATTATTCAGCGATACATTTTGCCGTTGCTAGCATTTTGATACAAAAATGCAAGCTTTACATGTTGTTTTTCAATTTTTGTCATCAATTGATTGATTGATTGTTGGTTGCTTAACATCTAGTGGCAAATAGTTCATGCATTTTCAGGGCGAAATTTTGCATCGAAGATCGTCGCTAACCAAAATAGGTCCAAAAGACAAAACATGGCTTTTCTTTTAGCATAAAAGTTTAATTTTTAGACCCTGATTTGGATCAACTTGAAAACTGGGCCCAAAAATACAAAATTTAAATACAGGTTTCAGATAGAGCGTTTCTTCTGATTTTTTTCAAAGGGCATTTATGGTAAGGGAGCTACCATTTGATTTTTCTAATCTCTGCCCTGCCTTTTTATTTTTCACTTTATTCGGTCCTGCCTTTTTTTTTTAGTTTATCCTAACTTTTTTTTACACAAATGGTCATCCTGCCCTTTTTTTTTGCCAAGTTGCTTATCCTGCCTTTTTTTACTCAAAACTCCTGTCCTGCCTTTTTTTCAAATTTCATCCTACCCCCCCCTCCTATAAAAATCAAATGGTAGCTCCCTTAGATTAAATGAATTTCTGGAAACGGAAGAGTATTAATAAAAGGAAGGTCAATAGAGGATTTGAAACCCAAGTTTATTCTTAATGTTTTAAACAG